CCGCCATTGCAATGTTTGCTTAGAACAGTTATCATCTGATTCTTCCTTTTACACTTGTGTTGCTTGTGAGCTTTTCATTCATAAATCATGTTCTGAGACTGAGCTACCATTGAACATCAATCACCCCTTCCATGGGAAGCACACTCTTACTCTTAATCTTCTTAAAGGGGATAGAGCAGTACTCTGTCAATTTTGTCATAATGATCGTTATCCTTCAGGATTGTTTTACCATTGTTCTTCTTGTCATTTCAACCTTGACATCAAATGTGCCTTTCTCCCACAATTCCTCACTGGAAATTTCCCAAAACGTGATCATTTTAGTGATGTTGATGAACACCGACTCTTCTTCATCCGCAAGGACCTTATTAGCAGCAATAAAGTTGAACTACGTTCTTGTTATTGCTTTGTTTGCCCAGAATCATTATCGGGTAATTCTTTTTACTATTGCCCAGAATGTCAATTTTTCCTTCATAAATCATGTGCATTAGAAGAGCTACCTTTGAAAATTAATCACTCTCTCCATGATAAACATGCTCTTACTCTCCAAAAAGGCAGGCCCCAACATAGACCACGATGTAACTTTTGTCTTAATTATATCGAGGGATATTGGTACAGCTGTTCTTCTTGTGTGTTCAAGCTTGATCCGCGATGTGCTTTGCTCATCACCAAAGATATCCCAAAACGTGATCATCATTTTAGCCATGTTGAACACCCACTTGCCTTTGTCCAAATTCTTAGCAACAAAGTTAGAATAAGATCTTCCTGCTTGCTTTGCTCAAAACCATTATTGGGCACTTCTTTTTACAATTGTCCTGATTGTGGATTTTTTCTTCACAAAGAATGTGAGGCAGAGTTGTTGCCTAAGATTGAGCATGTTGCCCACCCTGAACACCCTCTTATTCCTGTATTTTCAGCAAATTATACCTGCAACTTTTGCCAAGGTAAAAATCATGAGAAGAAATTTGCATATAAATGCCCTTGCCCTTCTTGTGTCTTTTATATTCATTATGAGTGTACCTTACCCAGCTTCTTCCCAGAAAGTAGGATCCATGACCACCAGTTGAGTCCATTCATGAGGAAAAATCCCTTCATTTGTGATGCGTGTGGGGCGAAAGGAGATGGTGCTCGCTACTTTTGTTTCAAGTGCAGTATCATGATCCATAAGGATTGTATTTTCCTGCCAAAACTCATTAAATTCAGACTGCACAATCAACATCTACTTGGCCACAACTATAGGTTGCCACAAAAAGAGGGTGAAAAATGGACTTGTCAATTTTGTTTCAAAAAGGTGGTCACAGAGTATGGGAGTTACAAATGTTTGCACTCAGACTGTAATTATGTTCTTCATGGGAGTTGCGTAAAAAAGAATGAAGGTCTTTATAGCGAAGTTGAGTCAGAAAATGAGGAAAGTGATAAGGCTTCTTCTTCTTCAAGTTATGCTGTGGCGCTAGGAGACAAGATAGATCATTTCAGCCACAAGCATGAATTAGTGCTTGATAATGAGGAGATTATTACAAATGGTGATAAAAAGTGTTGTGATGGCTGTGCATTACCTATCTTGACTGCCACTTACAGTTGTCCACTGCCACAGTGTAATTTCTCCCTTCACAAGGCCTGTGCCCAAATTGGAGAGCACAAACCACATTGGGCTTTCCGAGATCCTCTTCGAGTCAGCATGAACTTCTATTTTAGATGTCAATTTTGTAAGTATGACTGCAGCGGTTTTTCTTCCTGGAAACGAGATGACGATGATTATGATGGTCTTGGCAGTAAAATTTGCCTCAGATGTGGCGAGATCCCTTTCATCACTAAGCATGAAGCACATGCTCAGCACTCCCTCTTCTGTGATAGAGAACACAAGGGACCATGTAGTGGCTGCGGTGAGGAAATGGGTTCTTATGGTGGTTACAAATGCACGCTAGCAGAGGAAGAGGAGAATTGCAAATCTTTTGCCTTGGACTACAGATGCCTGACACGGCCCCTTACAGCTGAACATAGGTTCCACCATCATCCTCTAAAACTCACTTATCAAGATCCTTACAAGGATGATGGTGATCCATTTCAACACATGTGTGAAATCTGTGAAGATAGAAGAGATCCAAAGCTTTGGTTTTATCGGTGTGATGAGTGCGATTTTGATGCTCATCCCGATTGCGTTCTTGGAGAATACCCATTCATCAAGCGCGGTAGCAACTGTGGGAGCATCTATGATTATTATAGTATATGTCATTCTCATTATCAACCTCTCATATATTTCCAGAGGGAGAAATATCCCTATCCGAACTGTGATGAGTGTGGCTATCCTTGCAAAGATCTAGCTCTTAAATGTCCCGATTCTGAATGCAGCCTTGCTCTACATTTTCTCAAGTGTTCCTGATGGCGACTTTAACATATGGAGGCGGTAACGGCGTCCACTGTAAAGATACAGGAAACTCAGACTAAATTGGTAATTCTCCATTTTTTAATTTGATAGCTTGATTTCAATCTTTCTTTTCTATATATGTCATAAATTGTTTTCCCAAAATTCAAACACTAATGAAATTAGTTTGATCGGTAATCTCAACAATTAATTAATTGATCAACATATAGTAGGCCCTTTTTTTTTTTTATGTATTTTGTCTCCAATGTGTATCAATGGTATTTTTATCTTTTCCCACTCCAAAATGATGTTTTTAAATGCAGTCCACCTTAAAATACCATTCCTTTTTTGTTTTTATCATGTAGAACACCCAAGGAAATATGTATGGGGGAAGACAAAGGCTTGTAGCATTTCTTTTACTATGGTATGTCTTACCGTCCAACCTTATTGGTAATTATTCTCCTCTTTAGAAATATATATGTGCAGATCAATATATATAGCTCACGCTTCTGAATCTTCCATGAAATGTATGTATATATTTTGCAGCACAAACTGTAATTTTATTATTGGTTCTACTATGGGAAGCATTCAGGTTGCTCAGACCAGAAGGACACAATTGCTTTCACTGATGGGGTGGTATATTACCATGACTATATGTGTTTTGTAGTCAAATTTGCTATATTTTTAATCCATAAGGAGGAACTCCTTGTCAATTTCTACCATTGAAAAGAAGGATCATTGAGGTACAATTCCTGCGCTTTGCTAATTTGCTCTGATTTTTTCCCCTGAAAAAACAGCTTCAATTCAACTGAATACACTCCGATAGTATAGCTCTACTTGTCAATTTCTACTATTGAAATTTAAAAGGAAGACTTTCTTAAAAAAGTGAGCTTTTTAAATGTATAGATACAGTTCTGTGCAACTTGGTACTCAACTAATTTTTCATGTTTCATAATGCCCTATGTCCAGATATTTTGATTTGCTATAATGGAGAGACATCTGCCTCAAAATCAGTTACACGTCAGATAGTCTGTAGCATTGTCAATGATTATGAGATGCAGGTTAAAGAAGAGGCTGAGGTTGAAACAATGTCAATGATTAGACAAGCAAGACCAGATGCTTCATAGTTCATCCTTGGGGGAGACAAATAAAATACACAGGACATTGGCTCCAAGCAATTAAACAACTTCATCTTCTGTAGGTATGTGTGTGAAATCTTGATTAAAAATGCCAGTTTACTACTTTTTTTGGAACATTCTTACGCATGAATATTAAACATACAACAAAAGTTGATATTGAAATTTCATAGTTTGTTTAGTTGTTAATTAATATGTAGAGGAACTGGCCTTACCTAGCTAGCCTAATGGTTCACCACCCAAGCCTAAACTCTTAGGTTGGGAGTTTAACTCCTGCTTATGGCTTGGAAACCTACAACTTATCATGTTTAAAATATTAGTAACATGCAGGGATAATGCTATTGCTCACTTCTTGATTCATTTGCCACTGACTAAGTTCCAGGAAAGTGAAAGAGCTCAAAGAAACAATCCTATCAGTTGGATACATTCACATGGAGAAGACACATCCATGGTTATTTTCCCAAGTTTGCTTTGGTATGTCAAGCTCTTCAACCAATCAACCTATTGGTAAATTTTTTACATTGGAAAACTAATGTTTGGTTTAACTGATAGGTTTAATTAACATGGAACAAAAAATTGTAGAATAATTAACTAATCTAATAGAAATTAGTTGGATGATGTTCCTTAATCTTGGATTTTGAGAGTTAAAAACAATAGAATTAGAATTAGAAGCAATCTCATTAATTGCATTGGCTATTTCAAAAGATTATTCTGTTCATGATGAACCAACTGTTATTACAAAATAAGCATCTGTGAAAACTTGGTCATTATAGCATTCATCCTGACAAGAAAACTGGAATGATCTAAGCTTCATAAACTTTGCATTCTTCATCAGCAGGGTTTGTCTCGCAAAAATCCTCCAAGGGATCACCACTTCCTGCAGCAGGCATGCCGGGCCACTTGCTTGCTACAAGATGTGCCAAATCAACGACCCATTGGCTGCAAATATTCAACATATTACCGTTAGTAACTGGTAAGGCACAAATAAGATTATAGTTAGAAACAGGAAAGTTTTAAGGAATGTATCCTGACCTGTATCCCCATTCATTGTCGTACCAGGCCACCACCTTAACCATGTCGTCTCCCATAACCATGGTTAGTGAAGAGTCAATGGTAGAAGAAACATCGTTGCACCTGAAGTCCACTGACACGAGGAACATCACAGACAGCCAATATGCCCTTCAATGGCCCCTCAGCTGCCTTTCTAAAGGTAGCATTGACATCCTCAGCTGTAATCCCCTTCTTCTCAACATTCACAACAAGGTCAACAACTGAAACATTTGGTGTTGGTACACGGAGTGCAATACCATTGAGCTTGCCCTTGAGCTGGGGTAGCACAAGAGAGACGGCCTTGGCTGCACCAGTATTTGTTGGGACTATGTTTAATGCTGCGGCCCTAGCTCTCCTCAAGTCACAGTGTGAAGCGTCCAAGAGTCTCTGCATGATGATCACAAGCAGCAATTAAGCCTTCTTTGTTCAAATAAATCTCCAACTTTTTCTGTTGGAATTCATTTGGAATTCAGAATTCTTTGAATTAGCTTAAGCTCTACATCCTAGGATTTTGGTGAGTGCAGGTACCTAGTCTCCAGCGTATGAATGGGTGGTTGTCATTGTTCCGTTTACAATTCCTGCACATCAGTTTCAAACTTTCAATGAACCCAAAGAAAATTCATTACTGTGGTTATATGAAATTTGGCTGAACCGAATGAGCTAACATCTGAATGAATGTGAAGAAGTGCTTACCCAATTCTTCATACATGACTTTTACAAAAGGAGCCAAACAATTTGTGGTGCAAGAGGCATTACTGCAATTACCGAAATTGATCCACTTATAAATTACAGCATCAAGAATTAGGAAAAAATTTTCAAACTGCTTTATGAGAAATCAACTTTCTTTGGAGGTACTAACCTTATGAAGTTTGAGACCTCGTGAGAGTAATCACCTTCGTTGACTCCAACAACATAAGTTGGAATGTCTGCACCTTTTGCTGGAGTAGTCATGATAACTTTCTTAGCACCAGCTTGAATGTGCTTCCCAGCTCCAGAGCCATCCACAAAAACTCATGTTCCTTGAAGAATGCATATGAATTTATCTAGTCATCTAAAAAGACTACTAAAATTTTGTCATTAATTAAATTTCCATCCCTTTGTATAGTTCAGTAATCCAATAGAGTTGTTGAAAAGATTGCTACATGAAACTGGAACCCGAAGTGTTTGTGCTGGTGAGAGAAATTATGCTTTAGAGAACTGCAATTGATGAGAAGAAGGTGCAAGAAACCCACCTCAATTACAATGTTAATGCCAAGATCAGCCCACAGAAGCTAGAGAGGATCCCTGTTAGAGACAACCTTAATTGGCTTGCCATCAACACTAATGGTTGTATCATCCACAATTTTGAATTCTGCTTTGAAAGTTCCAAGCATTGAATCGTATTTCAACAAGTGTGAAGCCTGTGTTTATATGGCACACCAGAAGTTGATGAATGTAACTAACTAATATCACATGCTAATTAGGGGTGTTCGTAGTGTGGTTTCATTCGGATTTTATTATTTTTTAAACCAATTCAATTTAATCGGTTAATAAAATTTTTAAACCAATTCAATCAATTATTATGTGATAACTAAACCAATCCAATTTAAATCGGAACGGTGTGGTTCGGTCGGATTGATCGATTTTTAATATTATTAAATATATAAGATAATGTAAAAATATTTTAACATCAAATAGAAAGTATAACTATAAAATACATATTAACATCCAAATCGGTAAAAAACATAATAATATGTAAAAATTATAAACAAATTCTTATACTCTTTTATATTTGTAAAAATTGAAAAGCTCTGAAAATTTTTCTTGATTACATCACTAGAGGCACCAAAAATAATAAAAAATAATTTCAAATTTCCAGCACAACGTAAATAATTCTTAAAGATTAAAATTAGTTTTTTTTTCCTAATGCGTTAATAATTTAATCTTATTTTCTAAATTCCGTTAAAAGTGAATTACATTTAACATGAATATTACTAAAATTGATTAGAAGCATTCATAATCAAAATTTAAAACTTCTAAACCAAATATCCAAAAATAGTAGAATATTAAGACTAATTTTATTATATAGTTTTAAGACTTTT